AAACCGGCCGATGAAAAATTGGGTCCTAACTAGGACGGCCCCTACCGGATTGATTCAATCGCCGGAGTAGGGGCATATCGACTCACATACATGTTAGGAAGGACTCTGCTGTGGCCTTGGAATTCCACGTATTTACGCAAATTTTATCATTAACTCGACTTGTGGGACATGATGCTTGTTCCAAACTGTTCGCTATGTACATCTGTTTTTCTGTAATACAAAGATTCTCATTCACCTACTACAGAATCTAGTTCAAAGATGTGCCGATAAAGTCTCCGGATTCGGAGCGCCCTTCGTGGATATCACGACTAGCCAATTCAAGTCTCCGGATTCAGAGCCCCATCGGCGAATGACGTCTTTGGGCCGATAAAGTCTCCGGATTCGGAGTGCCTTTCGTGGATATCACGATTGGCCGATAAAGCCTCTGGATTCAGAGCGCCCTTTGTGGATATCACGATTGGCCAATTCAAGTCTCCGGATTCGAAGCCCCATTGGCAAATGACGTCTTTGAGCCGATAATGCCTCCGAATTCGGAGCGCCCTTCGTGGATATCACGATTGGCCAATTCAAGTCACCGGATTCGAAGCCCCATCGGCGAATGACATCTTTGGGCCGATAAAGTCTCCGAATTCGGAGCGCCCTTCGTGGATATCACAATTGGTCGATAAAGCCTCCGGATTTGGAGCGCCCTTCGTGGATATCACGATTGGCCAATTCAAGTCTCCAAATTCGGAGCCCCATCGGCGAATGACGTCTTTGGGCTGATAAAGCCTTCGGATTCGAAGTGCCCTTCGTGGATATCACGATTGGCCAATTCAAGTCTCCGGATTCGGAGCCCCATCGGCGAATGACGTCTTTGGACCGATAAAGTCTCCGAATTCAGAGCCCCATCGGCGAATGACGTCTTTGGGCCAATAAAGCCTCCGGATTCGGAGCGCCCTTCGTGGATATCACGATTGGCCAATTCAAGTCTCCAGATTCGGAGCCCCATCGGCGAATGACGTCTTTGGGCCGATAAAGCCTCCGGATTCAGAGCGCCCTTCGTAGATATCACGATTGGCCGATAAAGCCTCCGAATTCAGAACGCCTTTCCTGGATATCATGATTGGCCGATAAAGCCTCCGGATTTTGAGCGCTCTCTGTGGATATCACGATTGGCCAATTCAAGTCTCCGAATTCGGAGCCCCATCGGCGAATGACGTCTTTGGGCCGATAACACAATGATGTCGATTAAATCAAGCCGAACAATGTCCATTCAATTGTCTGGAATACGTTTATTTAAACATTTATATAATAAAACACATGCAAGCATGTGTGTGCCGAACAAAACTTATAACCAAACATTGAAAATAAAATGCTTTTTTATTCGACCAACCAATAATTACATACTCTTAGACGCAATCCGCATTTTAACATTTATAGCGAATATTTTTATTCGGCGTCTCCCTCATCATCGCTCTTTTCAACTTCAAAGGCGAAAAAGGGCAAACAATCACGATGATCCAGGTCACATAAGTTGAAATCGACACCCTTCGCTCAGAGAGCCTTCGCGGCCTGAAGAGCCGCAAGCCAACCATGCTTAAAGTCGCGATTCTCGCATCGGCAGACCTGCTCGGCAAGTGTCTCTTTCGTTTTGTCGATCCCAACTTTCCGGCCAGCATGGAAACCCTCCTCGTAACCCTTGGCCCTCGCATTTGCTACGGCAAACATGTCTGCCGTATCTCGGTCGACGATGGCATGACTTAATAGCCGTTGGGTCACCCTCTCCTCCACAATCGGGTTAGATTGACCCGCCGCACGCGGATCGGCAACTTTAACCTTCCTAAGCTCCCTAAGCTCACTCTCTACCTTCTCTGCGGACCCGTTCGTCCATTTTCTCCATCTCCCGCCGCGCGACGCGCAGACGCATGCCGACTTTGTAGGCGGTGTACAGCCCCTTCACTGCCCCATGAATTCCTTCTCGAAACATTTCGAAATCGCATCGTTTAACCATCGATTGTTGGACTTCCGGTGGAAAGATCTGTCGGGCGAACTCGACCGCTACACCTGGATCATTGACGATGGAATCTGCCTCAGTCATCAGTTTATTCCCCATGAACACCGTAAGACTCAATGGTCGTGGCGTCGCGTCTGACTCATTCCTCAGTCGTGGTCGCGAGGAGCTTCCTGTTAATGCTTCTCTCTTCGGGGTGATCTGCTTCGACAGCTTGAAGGTTGACGTTTTTCACTTTCCTTGGACGCCCTTCCTCCCATACACGCAAGCTCACCGCTGCGATTCATCGCAGTATCTAGCTCAGCCAGCGTTCGTCCCTCTCCTCTGCTGTTGAAGAACAGTTTGTTTGACATTCGCCCTCGCCCCAAGCTAGTTCAAATCGAGTCTGAATAAGAATAAGTGGACCCACTGGCGCGAGCTCACCCCATTTATTCGTAGGCATGAAGCGACCCCGAGGAAATTTCATTAATGCTTTTGGTAGTCTCCAAATGCCCTCGCCCCATGCCGATTAAAGCGTGCCACAGCCACTTCATGTACTAATTTTTGGCTTTTTAAACGGCCTGATTATCTAAACGGCGATTATGGGCGAATGCCTTGAAGTCTATGCACTGGCTGGGGCAAGGGCAGATTTATTAATCTAACCGACCGAGTATCTTGGCCCCATGTCAATTAAAGTGTGCCACAGCCACTTCATGTACTGATTTTTGGCTTTTTAAACGGCCTAATTATCTAAACGGCGATTATGGGCGAATGCCTTGAAGTCCATGCACTGGCTAGGGCAAGGGCAGATTTATTAATCTAACCAGCCAAACATCTTGGCCCCATGCCGATTAAAGCGTGCCACAGCCACTTCATGTACTGATTTTTGGCTTTTTAAACGGCCTGATTATCTAAACGGCGATTATGGGCGAATGCCTTGAAGTCCATGCACTGGCTGGGGCAAGGGCAGATTTATTAATTTAACATCTTGGCCCCATACTGATTAAAGTGTGTCACAGCCACTTCATATACTGATTTTTGGCTTTTTAAACGGCCTAACTATCTAAACGACCTATCATCTAGTCGGCAAGTATACAAAACGTTTTATCCAAAACAGTAACCAAACAATTACGTTCATTAGTAACAGCAAAGTACAAAATGAATTTTCATTAAGTAAATTGGGCACAAATTGTAACCATTTTACATATGAAAATTACTAGACAAAAAGCTGTAAAAAGTTGAAAATTACATGCAAATCCTAAAACAAAAAACAAGAGCCCCCCAAATTAGTCCTCAGAGTCGGACTCTAGCAGCTCAACATCCACTTGCTTGTATGGAATTGGCGTAGCCAATGTCACATCAGCAGCAGCAAGGGCTTTGAGCCAATCGTGTTTAAATCCCCGATTCTCAAATTTGGGGACTTCGTCTACATATTCATCAAAAGCAAATTTTTTCCTAGCATCGAATGCACTAGAAGCCTTCAGGTCGGCCGTTTCCTTCGCCGCCTTCATCTCTTCCAATCCAGCCTCCAATTTAGAGATCGCCTCATTTGCCAATTTAAGCGCGTCGTCCCTCGCATCCGCCCTTTTCTCGGTGACTAATCTCAATTCTTCAGCATTGCGAGCTCTCTCCATCTCGACCTTGGCACGGGCGCCCTCTGTCTGCGCCCTACTCCTTTGGCCCTCAACCTTCGCTTGTAAACGGCCAATTAGCTCGACGGCATCGTGATAGCGACGACCCATGTCGGCTATTCTTCCAACGGCCTACAAAACAGGAAGAGAAGAACAAAATAATATTTGCGTAAAGAGAAAAGACAAAGTGCAGATATATACCAAAAGAGCCGATTACGCGGCCAACCCAATTACAACCAAATCCAGCTCTGCCCGAAAAGTCGCCTTGTCAGCAGGCAGTAAAACAGACGTTGCCAAGCTGAGTGCAACCGCTGGATCTTTGATCACTGAAGCATTAGAGGAGATCGGCATATTCTTTATCTTGGGCTGGATAACAAAAGGTACGATCACATCCGACTCCTCCAAACGAGGTCGTTTGTCGACACGTTCTTCTGAGCCGGCCTCGACATCGGCAGGGCGTTTCTCCACCCTTTGCTCAACTTCTACACTTGCCTGCACAAAAGGATCTACCTCGGTAATTCCGTTCTTTGTCATCCCCTCAATAACAGGCAAGGAGGTCTGGGACTGAGATTAGGCAGCCTGAATCTCCTCCGCCCTTCGCCCCGCGACCATCCTTTCTGTGTTTGCCTTCTTGGCAAGTTTAGTGAGGCTCAACCCAGCCATATCTTCTGGAAACGCGCCGGGAAGGTCCTCTAGACCGGGAAAAATATCATCGAGCGGACGGTCCTCACGACCCGAAGTGGACGGAGGATCAACCGAATTGAGGCTGGCTTCTTCAAATACTAACTTCAAAGCCTCATCAACCTCAGTTTCGGATTGGTCTGACTTGGCGGCCTCAGCTACTTCCGGTCGCTCCGAATCTGATCCCTCGCAACCGACTTGCCTTAAATTTTTGAAATCAGTCAAGATAAGGGCAATAAGAGACTCCTCACCCTCCGGAATTTGGATGTTTTCTGCCGCCGAGAAGGTCATATAAGTCGGCTCGTAGCGGAGCAGAACGTGGGCCGCCCTCCCCTACTTCTGAAGACGCGATCGGCCAAAATACTTGAGCACAGTCTTGATTTCCGAAAGGATGGCGTCGTCGGTCGAGATCAAGACTTTCTTCAAATCCTTTCCTGCAAAAGCAAAATCATAAGGTCTAGAAAATAAAGTTTTATAAATATAACAAGTAAATAAATAAAAGAAGATACTCGGCCACCTGGTTCGCCCCTCCGTCTAGGAATACGATCAAGGTGATCCTCGCCTTCGCTGAATTCCCAGTTTCCTTGGACGACAACCATAACATCATCGACTCGCTTCCCAGAGCTGGAAAGCATAGTCACTAGTTGATGGTCGGTGTCTTTGGCCCTAAGGAAATAACGCCTATGCCGACCAGAAGACTTGGCCAAGGCGTAGCAATGCTGAATAGCGAGAATGCCAAGGTTAAGCCTAAGGCGGCGATTTAGTGTGATAATCCCCATCACGATCCTATAGAAGTTGGCATTGGGTTGGGAAGGGATTAACCCCCAATGGCAAAGCATAGCCCTCAGGAGAGGGTGAAGGGGAAAACGGACCCCACCCTCTGCGACTGATAGAAGAGGAAAGACGATCGTGGTCTCATCAACTCTCTCCATATCGAGGGTGCCGTCTGCCATAAATGACAAACGAACATCATCAGGAATGGAAAAATGGCGTCGGAAGCCAGAAATTCGATCTGGTGAGAGGAGATCTTTTAAATGTTTCACCATTCCCCCAGCCAATAGGATTATGCTAAGCCAAAAGAAAAACAAAGCAAAGGAGGAGAGAACTTACAAGAGAAGATGGAGATAAAGAAGAGTATGAAGTTACAGAGGTATTTCGAAAGGCAATCCAGCGACGGGCGTCTAAAAGCATGTATGCATTTGAAAAGACGTTGAAATTTCAAATCTCAATAAATAAAAACGTACGAAGAGGCAGGAAGTTGAAATGATAACTGGGAAGTGTGTGTACAGACATATGCGTTGGAATACGATCAGCCGCCAAATTTCAACTTTGACTCTTCGAGTTCGAAACCAAACATTCCAGCCAACTATCGTTAGTGGAGTGCTTGGGGGGCAATTGTGGGGGCTGAGAAGAGGGAGTCGTAGAGATTCCGGATAGTTAAATCTCGGAGAGTCGAGATTCGAAGCACTCGGCAATTGGCTCGCATGTTCAGATCCAACCCTATTCGGCCAAACAGCCGATTAGGCAAGGGGCCGAGTGAGGGTCGGTCTATTATAAGATGTGCCGAATATGAGTTGGAAATGGACCTAATCCTGATGCCCATGGAAGAAAAGATATAAATAGAAAAACATCAGCCAGAAAGAGGTATGTGAAAATTGTAGTGCTTAACTTAGAATATAAGTATTCCTGAGTGTGGTTACTGACTTGTCCATCTGAGTGTTAATTCTGGCACTCCCGCCGGAGTGTTTTATTCTTTTTCAGGTGACCGAAAGAGGATAACGAGCGTTCCCCAAGATCAGAAGAATATTTCCAAACCACTTCTCCACAATTGGCGCCGTCTGTGGGAATACTCAAGCATCGCACTTGCCTTTTCTTTATTGATGTATCACTTTGTACTTATCAATAGAAATTTTTTTGCTGATAAAAAAAAATAAATTTGGGTGAACTCAACCAGGGAGGCATGTGAAGGATATGCTGAGAAAGTGAAAATCCTAGGTTTCAAGTTGGTGGAACTCATCTCCCTAAGCTTAGGCTTGCCTGAAAATCGATTTCCTGGATTCTTCAAAGAAGGCCATGCCAGCTTCATTAGGATCACCACTACCCACCATGCCCATCCCCAGACTTAGCTCTCGGCATTGGATGACATAAGGACTCCGGTGGGATAACCATTCTGGCTCCAGATGACGTCGGAGGATTGGAAGTCAAGCGCAAAACAGATGGTGCTTGGATTCGAGTTCAACATATCCCAGATGTTTTTATTGTCAATCTCGGTGATATCATGCAGGTATTTCATTTAGCTTTCCATGTTTGGTGACGTTTTCATTTTCGTTTTTCATGTGTTTTTGTATGCAAAAATAAGTGAAAAGTTCAAAAGTATCCATCTATTTTATTTTGTGTGTAAAATATAAATTTTTTGAAAATTGAAAAATAAATTTTCAAGTTTTTTTAAGAAAATGGAAAATGAAAATATAAAAAAAAAACATGATACATACCCTATCTAACCAGTTAGTTAAATGGATGTCTTTAGTAATTTTAGCTACTATTATGTTCATTTTTCTTAGTTATTTTGTCTCTATATCGCCACTAGTTAACTCTAAATAAAAAAAAAAATTTAACAAATTAATTTTCATTTCTCTTTTTCTCAGTCTTCTTCTTTTTTATTTCTTATTTGAAAATGCAAATTAAAAATATATAATTTTTTTATTGCACTACGCCCTTCTTCTTTTTTATTTCTTATTTGAAAATGCAAATTAAAAATATATAATTTTTTTATTGCACTACGCCAAATTTGGGCTTTAGCGGCGGTTTTTTACTGCCGTTAAAGGATGTAAAACCGCCGTTAAAACCTTTAATGGAGGTAATTTAGGACTGTCGTTTATACTCGTGTCGGAAAAGGTACAACCGTCGTAAAAAGGTAAATTACCGTTGTTAAAAGTCGACCAAAAACGGCAGTAATATAGGACCAAAAACGGCGGTTCTTTACTGCCGCAAATAGTTTCAAATTTAAAAAAAAAAATAATTCTGTCTTCTTGCACCCCCAGGCCTCGAACCCGTGACCTTTAATCCATGCACACTAACCACTACACCATAGCCACTCTATATGAAATATATTTCCTAAATAAATATTTAAACATTACTTTTGCTTTATTGTAGATGGTCATAATCAACCTCTGGCCGCGTGTGGTCACCACACGCCGGAGTTCCGCTGGAGCTCCGCCGGCAAAGACCGCCGTCATTAACGGCGGTAATGAGAGGGCTTTAGCGGCGGTTTCGTTACCGCCGTTAAAAATACATTAACGGCGGTATTAACGGCGGTATTGACGGCGGTTTCGTTACCGCCGTTAATAGTATCTTTAACGGCGGTAATAAAAATCGCCGTTAAAAAAATGGCCGTTAATGCCCTGTTTTGGCGTAGTGTTGGCATATAATTTTTTAAATGACTTACTAAAATAAAAAGTATTGTTAATAAGCTAGTTAAAATAGATATGGTACTTTTTATTTAATCTTTCTAGACAAAATACCTAATATTATTGGAGATGCTTTAACACATTTAAGTCATTTTCTTTCTCACTTTCTTTGTTTTTCTGCGCCGGGGAGAGGGAGGGGGCGCTTCAACACATTTAAGTCATTTTCTTTCTCACTTTCTTTGTTTTTCTGTGCTGGGTCAGGGGGGGCGGCGGCGGGGGTTGGGGGGTTGATTTCTATCATTTTACCAATATTAAAACATACTTGGAAAATTTTTTAAAAATTGAAATATATGAATCAAATTTATTTTAGATGTAATTTACATGAAATATATGAATCAAATTTATTTTGGATGTAATTTACATGAAATATATGAATCAAATTTATTTTGGATGTAATTTATTTCGGATGATGATTTTAGGCTAAAATAGCCAACAAAGAAAAAAAAAAAAAACTAGAATAGCCAATACGATAAAATGTTACATTCTACACATCAATTCAACTTTAAAAAAAAATCACAAATTATCCCAAACACAATTTTTTTTCATCTTATAAAATAGCCAAAAAAAAAAAAAAAAAAAAAAAAAAAACAAAAATCCTCGGGAGGCACAAAGGTTGGCTGACAAAACTCCAAAAAAAAAAAAACCAAAATAGCCAAGTTCCCAAATGAGGGCTAAATTTAAATCTACTCTACACAGTCAAATTTTAAACACATTTCTTAATATTTTTCTTGAATTTATAGCATTTTTGTATATCATTATTTGAAACATGTTTCCGCCGCACCCTAGCCCATTGAATTAATCAATACACTTTCTCAGATTTGTCCAAAATATGAATTTTCTCCTCACATCCTAAAAATTACAAATACTCCATTGGCAAAAAAAATTATGCAATTGTCCTAATAAATAAAATAAAATTATCCAAATACCCTCTAATATCAAAATAAAATTATCATACTACCATTATTTTCATCCACTCACCACCAAATTCCTCTCTCTCTCTCTCTCTCTCTCTCTCAATCACCATATTATTATCTAACATTCTTCAGCAGCACATTAAAATGCTTGTAAACAATAATGTTGGTGGTCCTGATTGAGAGTGGAAGAGGGTGGTGCGATGGTTAGATACAGTGATATTACTAATTGAGATAAAATAGAAAATAAGAGAAGTGAGATAGGAAAAAGAAAAAATAAATAAAATGTTTAATTTATAAAGGTTAATATAGGTATATCTGGGAAAAAAATTGTTACTGGTGACATACATTTTGATAGTCTGACTTAACGATTGATTAATAAAGGAGGCTATTTATTATGTGATTGGAAACCTCAAAGGGTAGAATGAAATTTCTCAAACATGAATAGAGAATCTATTATATTTTTAGTTAATCTCAAGATATATTTGTAATTTACTTAAATATATATGTGATGAACTATTAAAGAGGTGTTTTGTACAGGCTTGGACTAATGAGAAATATCAGAGTGTGAAGCACAGGATAGTGGTGAACTCAGAGAAAGAAAGGCTATCAATTGCTTTCTTCTTCAACCCCGCACACCATGTCAGTGTGGAGCCCCTTTCTGAGCTCATAGATCACCAAAACCCTCCAAAGTACAGGCCCTACAACTATGGGAAGTTCTTTGCCACTAGAAAAGTCAGCAATTTTAAGAAGCTTGATGTTGAAAACATCCAACTTACTCATTCCAAGTTATCACAGTAATTGCAAATACAAGTGCACATACACCATTCACATAATCAAATAAAATCCTTTCATATGAGGTTTGGTTCAATTTGGTAATTGCCTTTTTAATACTTTTTTATTGATTTTTTTTCATCTTTTAGTGAACTTTGATTATTAAATTTTTAATTTTTTTTTTATTTTAAGTCTTAGTAGGCTAGGCAGACTTGAAAATAATAATCACTACAACAAAAAAGGGTTTTTACGGCACGCAATGCATGTCATAAAAACCCTTCTACGACGTGCAACGTGCGTCATATTATGACCAGTCATGGAAAGTCATTCACTTTCAACGATAATAATCAATTAAAGTTCACTAAAGACATTTGCCTTTGTTGAATTTTTTTTGAATTTTTTAAAATTATTTTATTTTTTAGATTCTTCTATATTACGCGAACTTAATAAAAGTAAAAAATAAATAAATAAATAAATTACACGATTTTTTTTAAAAAAAATCACTGTAGAGATAAAAAAAAATTAGAAGTAAATGTGACCTTTGAGTTGTTGCCAAACAAAGCCTGGTTCTCGTTTTTTATGAGCCGTACACTTTTGTGAAAAAATTATGCCTGATTTTGTATTTGATTTTTGTGCACTTGGAAAAATTATACATGTATAAGTACAATAAGTTGGTCCAGCTAGCTTTAGCCTGTTGTAGTAACTATTTTGTTATGTAGATGTAAGAGACTTTGGATATATGTACCATATATATGTACAAGCATTAATAAGTTGTTTTAGAGTTTCATGTAATATATGAGAATGCTTTATGCAAATAAATAAGCACAGAATTTGGAAATATGTTGTGGGATTTTCAGCTTAACTAGCTTGTTGCTTTCTTCTCGTTTTACGTAGTATTTGACATATTTATTTATCAAACCAGATTTACATATATATATATATATATAATCCCAAATGCAAGTTGTTTTAAATTTGTTTCTAAAACAAGGTTGTTTTATGAAATTATTTTGAAAAACACAACTTCAAATAATTAATTGAAATCACATTCTAAAAACAGGACTATATAAAATGTATGTTTGAGAAAAGCACGAGATTTTGATGGAAAAAATGAAAACAAGAAAGTAAAACAGAGCAATCACATAAAACACAAAGATATATATTATTTGGTTATAAGCTTACGTATATGGGTGAATAACAATTGAGATTTCACTGTCAAAAGGAGAAGATACAAGGCGTAATTTTTTTTTTGGTGAATAAGTCATAAAATAAAACAAAGGATTTACAAGAATATAAGGGGAATACCCCAAGCCCTAACCCAGCTATACAAAAGAACCAAACAAAAGGCAGCCAAACACCAGCTGCAAACATGACTACTAGATAACCACAAAAGCAAAAACACAATAACCACAAAAGCAGGACCGCAAGCTTCTACAGAGGGGCCACAACCTTGTTCACCCACCATATCTCCAACAAAAATAGGGGGAGTGAACAATGAAGGAAACCCAGAAACTACAACAGCCCGCAGACTAGAGCCTATCTACATCACAACAGAGGGCGAGAACAACATGGCCCAAAAGCACCTGAATTTGCAAAGCAACCACACCATGATACAAGGCGTAACTGTCTCTCTCAAAAGCTCTATAACAAGAGTTCTGACTACTAAATATCTACACACAACAAGAATCGGGTTGTACATAATTGAATTGTGCAAGTGGCTAATGTAATGGGTCATAAGTACAAACTGAATAGAATACGAGAAATCCACAACCGTGCTCTATGATTCCCTTTTAGTATCTTGTAATTCAATATGTGAAGGAGAAATGTATACACAGTGTTTGTTGTGTGAAATTTTATAAGAGGTTAAAAAAATAAATTGATGAAATTCATCCAATAATACATAGTTACCTTCTAAAACTCAATAAACACATATACAAAATCATCCCAAAATAAAATAATAATAATA